CATTCATATACATGAGCACATACACATACACGAATCATACAGACCCAGAGGAGTGAAGGCAGACAGTGCACCCCCAGACAGTAACCCAAAAAGTGCTCGTGCGCTGATGGAGTGACGAATCACCGGCGATGAGGGATCTTCCCTCCCTTCATCAGCGCAGCGATATACACCACAACATGCACGCAAGGCACCACTTTCCTCATGACAGACTCATGATTGATGTGTCATTCCTTGCACCCTGCAACATTTCCCTCCCTTCGAGTGCTGAGCTCCGAGCAGCACCCGTCCTATCTACGAGGATGACACATCAATGCCTCTCTGATGAAAATACACAGTAAATACATTACAATACACGACAAGGAAGGAGAAAACCTACAGTCAGTAGCAAAAACTCCTTGTCTGCCTCGCCTTCGGTACGGCCCAACCCATCAATGACCGTCCCTCAGTGTTCTGGTGGTTGGAGATGAAAACCGGCTGCTGAGCAGCACCCTTTCTAGGCATGGGAGTCCTCGTCTCTGGCGAAAGCAGCCACAGAAATCCTATCCGCATGTAAACTACATGCGCATGCAGCGGGGGGCAGGCCCCCAGAGGAAAACAGCACTTTCAGCAAAGAACCAGTGCAGCGGCGGCCTGTCGTTCAGCCTTCCACTCCCTGTTCGTCCTCGTTCTCATCCCTCTCTCGCTCCCATTGGTAAAAACGAAGGAAGTCGGCCAGCGATATGGCACTCTTCATGCCCACGAGGCTCTCCTTCTTTGACCGCTTTGTGCGTGTCGGCTCCTTCAGGTAATGCAGCTGGATGCCATCCTTGTCAAGCTTAGTCACCTTCACGGTGTGTTCGCGGTTGAGCTCCTTGCAGTGCCTCACGCGCACAATGGCGTACAACGGCGGGAATGGCGTATCATCGAAACGCAGGTCAGAGCCAACGTCACGGTTCTCGTAGTCCTGCACAAGTTGTTTGCAGAGCACGTCGCTCTCGTCCTCCCATGACGCGCTCGAGAGTGGATGCCAGCGCCATTTGCATTTGCATTGGACACGCCCCTTGTGGATCCTCTTCCCAACGATGGCTTCCACTTCGTGCTCAACACCCTTCTCAAATCGTGCATCCGGCTCGACGTCCCTGAGACGCGGATCATTCATCATCGGGTCCAACGCAGCTCCAACTGATGATGCTCTCGTCTGTGTCGGCATGTGGTCTTCTCCAAGCCCGAAGCCTTTCAAGGTATCCTCTTGTTCAGGCGACAAGAATGCGTCCTGATTGAATACCGTCTGTCTCCTGTCCCTCGTCAGGTGGCTTTCTGGCACCTCAAAGGCTCCATCGTGGATGCATTCGCCCAACGGCGGTGTGGATGCCTTCAGTCGATCAACATTGATGGTTTTCGCCGTCTGGTCGCCGCACACACGGACCTTGTATGTGACGGGTCCCGTCTTCTTCTCGACGATGCCGACTGTCCGCCAAGGTGAGATGGCTTTCTTACTGAGGCCCCTGGGCACCTGGTTGT